TGAGCCCCTCCCGGCCACTTGTATGCGCGATCTTGTTCTTTCGGTCACTACCCACAGCTCATGACCATAGGTGAGGGTAGGGACATAGATTGACCGGTAAATTGAGAACTTCACCTTTACACTCAGCTGTCTCTTCACCACGATGGACCGGTACAGCGTACGCATCACTGCATCACTGCTGCAGCACGAATCCGTCTGTCTATCTCTGGCTCCCTTCTCCCATCACTCGTGAACAAGACCCCAAAATTCTTAAACTCCTCCACTTGGGGAAGGAACTCCTCCCCGACCCGGAGTGGGCACTCCACCCTTTTCCGGCTGAGAACCATGGCCTCAGATTTGGAGGTGCTGATCCTCATTCCCGCCGCTTTACACTCGGCTGTGAATCATTCCAGTGCAAGCTGGAGGTCATCACCCGATGAAGCCAACAGATCCCCATCATCCACAAAAAGCACAGATGAGATTCTGAGACCACCCAAGTTAAAGCCCTCCGCCACTTGGCTGTGCCTAGAAATCCTGTCCATAAAAATTATGAACAGAATCAGTGACAAAGGGCAGGCCTGGCGGAGCCCATTACCCACCGAGAACGAGTTCGACTTATGTGTACCAAGCTCTTGTAATGGTTGTATAGGGATCGAATGGCCCGTGGCAATAGGCCAGACACCATATACTCCCACAGCACTTCCCACAGGACACTCCAAGGGACACGGTCGAATGCTTTCTCCAAGTCCACAAAACACATGTAGACTGGATGGGAAAACTCCCATGTGCCCTCCAGTATCCTCAAGAGGATAAAGAGCTGGTACAGTGTTCCACAACAGGACGAAAACCGCATTTTTCCTCCTGTATCTAAGGTTTGACTAGCAGATGGACTCTCCTCTCCAGCACCCTGGCATAGACTTTCCCAGGGAGGCTGAGGAGTGTGAGCTCCCTGTAGTTGGAACACACTCTCCAGTCCCCCTTCTTAAAAATAGGGACCACCACCCCGGTCTGCCAGTCCAGGGGTACTGCCCCTGATCTCCACATTTCAGAGGAGTGTCAGCCAGGACAGCCCTACAACATCCAGAGCCTTCAGGAACTCAGGGCAGACCTCATGCACACCTGGGAATATGTTCTAGTCTATATTTATATTTAACCTATGATTACTGTTGACTAGTAACAGAATAAGTTAGTGACCAGTAGTAATATGATTGTTTGTTTGTTTGTTTGGGTTTTTTTTCCAGATTGAGTGGCTGTAACCTTTCCGAGAGAAGCTGTGAAGCTCTGTCCTCAGTTCTCAGATCCCAGTCCTCTAATGTGAGAGAGCTGAACCTGAACAATAATAACCTGCAAGATTCAGGAGTGAAGTTTCTGTCTCTTGGAGTGGAGATTCCACATTGTAAACTGGAATCTCTCAGGTCAGATCAAGTCATATTTTGTTTTTTAACAAGCAACAACAATAAACAGTAATAATTGTTGCTAATTAAATGTGCTAAATAAATTGACTTCTTCCACAAAATGCTACCTTTGAATTTTTAGTAATGGAGTAGAAGTCACTGTTTAATATTATATCTGTAAGTATTCCAGCCAGTCCTGCTATTAGAAATACTGGATAATCTCAGATCTTGTCTCATGAATACACTTTATCACCCATTTTTTTTGTCTTCTTGTTTGTTTGTTTTTCCTTAGACTTAGAGGTTGTAACCTTTCAGAAAGAAGTTGTGAAGCTTTGTCCCCAGTTCTCATATCCGACTGCTATAGTCTCAAAGAACTGGACCTGAGTGACAACAATCTGCAGGACACAGGTGTGAAGCTTCTGTCGCTTGCAGCAAAGAGTCCACACTGTAAACTACAGACTCTAAGGTCAGATCAAGTGTTTGTTCTCTCTTAAAAAAATAAAAGATATAACCAATAAGATCTGCCAATAGTTAAGTGAATTTCACACACATGTTGTTTTGTCTTTGAATTCTTAAATTTTAGTATAAATTACAGTAAACTACTACATTTGTCATGTTGTTAGGTCTAGGTATGAGTCACCAATGTACACTAAGAAGGTGATTTGCACAAAGAAATATTAGTTTTTCTTGCAATGTAAGAAAATCTAAGAGCAGTCAAAATCTAAAACATTAAACTCTGGCTACTTTTGTGAAAATACTCTGTCCAAAAAGTTCAACTTTTGTCTCATCAGTCCACAGTGTGTATTCCATTACATCTGGTGTAAAAGTAACACAGCATTTCATAAAAGAAACATCACACCAGCAGTTATATATGGTGGTGGTAGTGTGATGATCTGAGGCTGCTTTGGTGCCACAGGACCTGGAAGACTTGCTGTGGTAAATGGAACCATGAATTCTGCTGTGTACCAAAACATCTTGAAGGAGAAGGTCCAGCCATCTGTTAGTGATCTCTTGCTGAAGCGCCACTTGAGTTCTGTAACAGGACAATAATCAAAAACGCAGCAATTCCGCCTTTAAATGGCTTAAGAAAAACAAAATGAAGACTTTGGAGTGACCTAGTCCAAGTCCTGACCTGAATCTGTTTGAGATGCTGTGCCATGACCTTAAAAAGGCAGTTCATGCTTGGAAGCCTACCAATATTGTTTAATTAAAACAATTCTGGAAAGATGAGTGGGCCACAGTTCCTCCACAGTGCTGTTAAAGACTCATTGCCAGTTTTTGCAAATGTTTGATTGCATTTGTTGCTGCTAAGGGTGGTACAACCTGCATTTAGAAACTGCTTTTTCTGTTTACTTGTGTCATCTTTTTCTAATATTTAAATTTGTTTGATGATCTGAAACATTTAAGTGTGACAAATGTACAAAGAATCTCTAATCTTTGGATTTCTTTAGGTCCTGTTTTATTTTAGTGCTCTTTTGTCTCCTGTGTCTTGCATTTAGTCAAAAGCATTCATGACACCACTTTATATCTTTATTTTTATGATGTAAACCATAGTACAAGACAGAGTGGCAGGTTCTGTACAATCTTTCATTGTGTGTGCTTTGCACAGGTTATCGCTTCAGATTATGCTAAAGGATTGGTATTACCTGGAACATGCTTTTTACACAGTTGAAGTTATTATGCTTCTTTGTTGGGTTTTAATTCCTCAGATGACTCCTTTCAACAATGTCCTTTTCTTTTAAAGCCATAGGATATATACATTGGCATGTCATCTTAGGTAACACCGCTTGACATATCCATTTGTGAATTTGTCTTTTGTCTTACTCATAGCCCTAACATGCTGGTCCGTATAGCTGCAGTAGCCAAAAAATGTTGATATCTGCTGCCCACTGCTCCTCCTGCTTGTTTGTCAACCCTAATATGATATTGCTCTAGCACTATTCAAACCACATGATTCATTTGCTGCTGGGCTCTTCTAAATGTGACAGTTTTGTTTTAGTCTGTCAAAACATTGATGGAATGAGTTCTATGAATGGTAAACTCTTAAATTAAGCATAAAAACTCTTGAATTTAGTGTTTTTTGTTCTCTTAAAAATTTCGAGTGCAGCTGTTGTGGTATTAATAAGATGGAATTTAACTGAATTATTGTTTATAATTTTTTAGAGTGAGTCATGGTAATCTCACAGAGAGAAGTTGTGAAGCTCTGTCCTCGGTTCTCAACTGCCAGTCCTCTAGTCTGAGAGTGTTGAACCTGAGTAACAACAACCTGCGGGATTCTGGCGTAAAGCTTCTGTCTGCTGGACTGAAGAGCCCACACTGTAAACTAGAAGTTCTTGTGTGAGTTGAAGTGGTAATGTGTTTATCTGTTTACATAAATATTTATGTCCCATATTTAATATTTTAATGTTTTACACATTAAATTTTTTTTTTGATGAGTTTAAGACAATGTTGAGCTCTATTTCTAAACTAGCATTAAATATTGCAAAATCTAGTAGCTCCCTTAGTAAGCATGATTCATCTTTAACACCTGTGTTATTTGTCTTCCTAATTTTTCAGACTGAGTGACTGTGACCTCTCAGATAGGAGTTGTGAAGATCTGTCCACACTTTTCAGTTCGGACTCATCTAGTCTGACTGAGCTGGACATGAGTAGCAATAACTTTCAGGATACAGGAGTGAAGCATCTCTGTATTGCACTGCACAGTCCACACTGTACACTCAAAATTCTCAGGTTAGATGAACTGATATTGCTTATTTATTTATTTTTCTTTTTGTGTTTCTATCAATTTAAAAAAAATACATTACAAAATGTTGCTAAGTTGATTTCATTCACACTTTGTTTTATATTTGTATTTTAAGACTTTGAATTTAATTTTTGATTTGTTTAACATAAAATAGAGGATTCCATCAGCAATTAAAGAAGATTACTTATTTACAAATCTAGATTAAGGAGCTGTAATCTCTCAGAGAGAAGCTGTGAAGAGTTGTCCTCAGTTTTTAGCTCCCGGCCCTCTAGTCTGAGAGAGGTAGACCTGAGTAACAACAACCTACAGGATTCAGGAGTGAAGCTTCTTTCTGTTGGCGTGAAGAGTTCAACTGAGATGAAAACTCTCAGGTAAGATAAAGTTATATACCTTTGATGAAATTACAAAAATACATTTTAACTCTTTTAGGTAATTATATGAACTATATGAATGCTATTATTGTTTCTTTGTATTTTTTTCTAAGTCAAAGTAAACAGCACTATTTCTGACTTGTTTAACACAAGGGACTGCTTTTGTTATTTCCAAATCTAGTAACCTCTCACTAAGGTAGGAATACTCATTAACACCAGTATTTCTTTTTCCTGTCTTCTTCCTAATAAAATTTAGGCTGAGTGGCTGTAAACTCTCTGAGATAAGCTGTGAAGCTCTGTCCTCAGTTCTCACCTCCCAGCCCTCTAGTCTGAGAGAGCTGGACCTAAGTGACAATGACCTGGGGGATTCAGGAGTTAAGCTGCTGTCTTCTGGAGTGGAGAGTACACTCTGTAAACTGGAAATTCTCACGTAAGGATTTAGACTTTTCAATAAAGATCATTTATTGCATGAATAAATGGTCATTTAGATGATAACTCATTTAGAATTGTATCTGTAAATATGTATTGGCACGTTACAATTTCTCTAAATCTTCCAAATTCTACCCATTTAAAACATATTAATGCTAGTGGCTAGTATCATACGTTAATAATAACTGGTCCACAAAGTCTAGTGTGCAGCAAATCTACTGCTGCACACTGAACTTGATGGTGAAACTTTGCAGTAATGACTTTGAATTTGTCTGTGAGTTCAGTTATAGGGGAAGTGTGACTAAACATAAACAAAGAACCTATCCTGAAGTATATTGTGATTGGTGAGCTAAGAGTTTCTAGACGAAAAATTGAGAGAAAATATTCCTATGTTTTTGAATTAAACATGGATGTATGATGATGATAGCTGGATAACAGGTGATTACGCCAGAGTAGCAAACACTACCCAAAATCTTTGGACCCAAAAATTGTTTGGTTTTTTCTGTTCATTTTTGCCATGCTAGATTATAAATTCAGGAAAATTGGTCACTTACTCAGTAGCACTAATCTGGTGCCAATCAGGCATCTGAATGTCAGCACCTGGAGTACCAGAAGCTCAAAACAAGAGTCAGAAGGAGAACAAGCAATTTGGCACTGGCAGAAAGGATTTGAGAGGTTTGGTTGGTTAGTTTTCTTGTTTGTTTTTGTTTTTTAAATTATGGGCAGCACTATGGCACGGTGGTTAGCACTGTTGCTGCACAGCAGGAAGGTCCTGAGTTCAATTCCACCATCAGGCCGGGGTCTTTCTGTGTGGAGTTTGCATGTTCTCCCCGTGTTAAGGTTAATTGGATAATCCAAATTGCCCATAGGTGTGAATGCGCGAGTGAATGTGAGTGCGAATGGTTGTCTGTCCCTGTGTGTTGGCCCTGCGACAGACTGGTGACCTGTCCTGGGTGTACCCCGCCTCTCGCCCTATGGCAGCTGGGCTCCAGCGTCCCCTGCGACCCTGAAAAGGATAAGCGGAAGCGAATGGATGGATGGATTATGGGCACAACCGACTCTGATGCTCAACCCACAGAAGTATTCTCCTTAGCACTATTTAGTGATTCAAAACTCCCTAGATCCACCAGGAGAGACCATTTCGACCCTGTCCTGAAAAGTAGAACAGTCAAAGTTTATCTCATTCACATCTGCCTCTGATCATCCAACACCCACCTTGTCTGCAGCTTCACCTCCTCAGCTCTCCTGGTCAGGCCTGAAACCTGTCCAATTAAACTCTGGATTCTCTTTATTTGCTCTGCTTAATTCTCCACACTCTGGAATCTCTGCTCAATTCAGTTACTATTCCCATGCTGCTCTAAAGTAGTTGTATTGCTATTTTGTGTGTCTGCAGACTGTCAGGATGTGTGATCACAGATCAGGGCTGTGATTCTCTGGCTTCAGCTCTGGAGTCCAACCCCTCCCATCTTAGAGAGCTGGACGTGAGCTACAATCATCCAGGAGACTCAGGAATGAAGCTGCTCTTGGCTGGACTGAAGGATCCAGGCTGGAGACTGGACACTCTCAGGTATGGAGAGAATGTCTGATAGAGGAAGAAGAGCTGAGCCCTCTACTACAAAGCAAGGGCAACATAGATGAATTTTCTTTTACTGACCTGGTTTCACTCACATTAACATCAGAAATGGGGACAAGCAGTCTCACAAAGCTAGTTATCAAACTGATAAGTAAACCTATGGTTTATATGAAAGGAGTGGCACTACCAGCATCTGACAAAACATGAATAAGTGTACTAGTAGCAGAGCAAAGATTTTACGATACTGACGGACTAGATGCGCCTGCTCCTTGTCATTTCAAAATTTTTCTTTCTGACTTTGTATCCTCTACGAGAGTTTGTGTTGTATTATGTTCACAGCTTATGTTTTTAATTTTCTATTATAGAAATCTTTAAAGAAACAAACAAACAAACAACCATGACAATAACAACAACAACAAACAAAAAGACAGTCTGGGACATAAGCTACCAGAACTACACATTTATTTCTTACAATTTCATTCCAAAGAGTCATGCTGACAGATCTTACTTTGACACAGCAGCTTTATCTTTAACATGCAGAAAAAGAGTTAAATATTTGACTTCTCTTCACCGACAGAAAGGGCAGTTTCAGGGGTTTAGCCTGCTTAAGATCAAAGTGGGCTGTATGTGGCCCACAGTGTAAAATGAGTTTGATAACCCTGGTCTAGATTAACGGATGAATAGAATACATTTTCTGGGATTTCCTTTCCTGCATGAGTGATGATGCATTAAGACATATTTATATGGAACTGAGACTGGTATGAAATAAGATTTTACTTCTTTATATATACACCTATACTTTACCTATGTTATTGATTTAACTTCATAATGTTTTTCAGTGCTTTTTAAATTCAACATCTATCTTACCATCTCACTCAGCAAAAAAAGGAACCATTTAAATATGACAGAAATACTGATTTTATTTATATAAAATTGTATTTAAAATATACAAATATGTTCCCATATTGCCCAGCTTGAAGTGTATTTGTGAAAATGTTGGACTGTTCCTTTATCAGTGTCTAACAGTATGTGTATGAGAGCCATGTAATGTCCATGTGTGCATGCTGACAGAGACTGTGCTGGTCTGACCCCCCTCCTCCTTTCAGGGTGGAGCCTGCTGGAGTCCGATGGTTGACACCAGGTCTGAGGAAGTGTAAGTGTGTTTTTAATGTGATTCATGAAAACAAAGCAGCACACATTCAACCATCTTCAAACTGTCACATCACTCATTCACATCTCTGATGTCAGGAGTCATCATCAAAGTGTCAATCAATGAACAGATGATGGATCAATAACTGCAGCTGGATTGTGTTTGTTCTCTCCATCAGATTCCTGTCAACTCACAATCGACACAAACACAGTGAACAGAGAACTCAAACTGTCTGACAACAACAGGAAGGTGACACGTGCAGAGGAGTATCAATCATATCCTGATCATCCAGACAGATTTGATTGGTATCAGCTGCTGTGCAGAGATGGTCTGACTGGTCGCTGTTACTGGGAGGTTGAGTGGAGAGGAAATGTTGATATATCAGTGAGTTACAGAAGCATCAGAAGGAAAGGAGAGCTACTAGATATTAATTACTGTTTGTTTGGGTGTAATGATCAGTCCTGGAGTCTGGAATGCTCTGCTGGTGGTCCTCATTGTGTCTGGCACAATAACAAGCAAATTCTTATTCCCATCTCCTCCTCCTCCTCCTCCTCCTCCTCTGTCTCTAACAGAGCAGCAGTGTATGTGGACTGTCCTGCTGGCACTCTGTCCTTCTACAGAGTCTCCTCTGACACTCTGATCCACCTCCACACCTTCAACACCACATTCACTGAACCTCTTTATCCTGGGTTTCGATTAGGGTACAGCTACACTGGTTACCTCTTTTCTGGTTCCTCAGTGTGTCTGTGCTGAGTGGAGTGTAAAGAGTGTCTCCTGTTAGAGAAACACTCTGACTGTTGAACAGATAGTTCAGTCTGTACATGTCTGTCTCTTTCACTCAGAAACATGTTTTCAGATTCATGAATTCAATCAGTTGATGTTTTTAACTGTTCTGAATGATTCCTTGTAAACTTCTTGCTCTTCAGTCCTTTAAAGATGGAAGCTCCCGTTATTCCAGGATCCACATGTTGTTTTTCTGTCTTTTTCCACTCAAAGCTGAATATCAGTATGTTGTGTTTCACTAAAGCTCAGTTCACAACCCTGCATTTTCAACAAGTCTAAGCTCTCTATCATGTAATGGTTTTTCTTGATTATACTAGGTATGGGTTAATTTTCTTTAAGACATGCTGCTTTACTCAATTTATACACATGTCAACGTTTTAACTGAAAGTAGGTCTGAGAGGGTTGATTTTCTGCATGTCAAAGTTGCCCATCAGTGTTGGTCAACTTACTTGAAAAATGTAATTAGTTACTAATTACTTGTCCAAGAAAGAGAAACAGTCTGACTGTTGAACTGACTGTTGACTGTTAATCACCGAAGAAATTTGCTTAACATTTAAATCTATTTTCTGCATATTCCAGCATATAAAATAAAATAATGTTTTGTTTTTACACTCACTGTTTCAAATAGATGTAAGTAAAACACAGCAAAAAATAAATATGGTGCTGCAGCGGTCATTTCAGTGGGGGGATCCAGGGGTTTCTCTGTGAATATTCCTGTAGCAGCGTGCTTGCTCAGATTTGAAGTTTAATTTTTTGCTGTAGAAAGAACAGTGTACAGCAGATGCTAATGTGGAAGCCACCTGTAGGTAATTGTGTTATGAGACTTTGAGATATGTGTAGGCATGTGAAAGCCGAAGGTGTGGTTGAGAAATAACAATAAAAGACCAACAACATCTGGAGGACGTCTGTCAGGTGTGCACCTGTAAAGAGTCGATTCACTCTAATCAGCCGAAGGTGGACTCTTGGTTGTTTGTTAGTCCCAAACGCTGCTGCAAGGCTCTTAACTAAGACACGAAAAAGAGAGCACATTACACCAGTGTTCATTACACTGGCTTCCAGTACATTTTAGAATTCATTTTAAAAAAATTTAAAATTTAAAATCTTTTAAAGCTTTGAATTGTGATGCCACTGCCTACATTTCTGATCTTTTAGAACCCCACACTCCCTCTTGCAGCCTGAGATCATCTAATCAGAGGCTGTTGGTAGTCCCATGAACTCGTTTTAAGACCAGAGGACATAGATCTTTTAGAGCGGTGGCCCCCAGGTTGTGGAATGCTCTCCCTCCATCATTACGTTGCCTTGATTGTATTTATTCTTTTAAAAAGCAGCTTAAGACTCATTTATTTAGATTGGCTTTTAATTAGATTTGTGCTGTATGTTTGATTATTAATGTATTTTATGCATTTCTGTTTTTATATTACTGTGAAGCACTTTGTGGTTTTTATCCTGTGAAAAGTGCTATATAAATAAATTGATTTGATTTGATCTTTAGAAAGCGACTGCTGTTTGAACGGTCATGTCGCATTAAATCTGTCTTCTACGTCACTGACACAAGACAGACGCCAATTATCAGTGCCGGAGAAGCGCCCGATAAGACATCGTGAACGCTTCCTGGCCATCGAGTGAAACTGTTTGGAAGACAACGTTGGAGAAACGTGAACATTTTATTTGTACTGTATAATCTGCAGATTCTGACAGAAATCTGCAGCTAGAAGCAGCGCTCCTCTCTAAATCAGCAATAAGGATCATTATTAGGCCATATGTAAATAACAAAATAACTTTATAACTTAAAGCAAAATTGGGAAACGTAAAGTCTGAAACAAGTCTTTATATTAACGGCCATCAGTCAAACAATACCGTTTGCTCTGGGTCTAAACAGAGCGCGTTGTGTGTCACGTCTTCTTTTGCGCATGCGGCCGCTTTGAGGGTTCACACTAGAGCACGTTTGCTGTCACATTTTATTTGTAGTGTGAACAAGCAGACAAAAAAAAAATCAGATTTGACCGAAAAATCTGTATTGAGCATTAAGACCTGCAGTGTAAATGTAGCCTTAGTGGCTTGATTCTACTCGTGACACGCAAAATTTCTGATTAAATGACTGATATAAATACAAAAAATAACAGGGAAAACTTGGAATCAGGGTTTGAAATGCGTTTGTGTAACCTGCTCTAACTCTTATATTTGTACATATTACATTATCATGGGGTCACAAGACAGCAAATTACTGGGGGGGTGAAAGTGGGTCATTAAATATTAAAACAGAACATAACTTGCCAAGAAAAGTAAGGAAAGCAATGTAATTATCACAGAAACAAATCCTCATTAAAAATAATTACACCAAATAAATGCCTGTTTGCACCCTTACCTTCATACAAAGTCCCAGTGGATATGAATCAGAAATGGCATACAGATATGGGATGGTTTTAGGCTGAGATAGAAGGCAGCATTTTAAAGTGATACCGAAAATTATTCTAACCATCATTTTTGCAGAAATAAATACTGGAGAGACACAAAAGTTAAATTGCAGAGAGGGGAAAACAGTTATATTTTGTCAAGAAACTGGATGCATCAAAGCCATAATAGCTAAAAGAGACCTGATTGAAAAATTAAATGAGGAAAAGCATTTTAAAGAAATTCATACATTTTCAAGAAATATACAGCTCTAGAGAGACAGAGGGTGTTGTAATCTGGTTTTGATTAGTTAGTTAGTTTAATTAGTTTTGATTACTTCCTTAATTCGGGTAGTCTTTGGTTTGTTTATATTTACTCATTTAAGATATCTGTACCCTTTTTATTGGTGTATTCTAAGTTAAGGGCCAGAAGGAAAGAGAAAATAAGGGTAAAAACACAAAAGAAAGAACTCTAAAGAGTTCTCTTTCACACCATCGCAATCACTCAGACAGATGCACATAGAAGTGGCCACATGCCTATGTACTCATGCAGACTGCTGTTTATGTACATGTATTATTGTCTTGTTTCTATTTCTAATGATAGTTCATTTTTGACAAGGGATGCCAGGAGTGAACAAATGTTAAGTAAAGCACGAAAAAAAAATGTATGCAAATGAATACAATTTTATATGTTGAAATCCTCTTTGTGGATAAAGTCATGGAATCATTTTCTCAGAGATCAAACTTGTAAACAGGTCAAAATTTGACCAGAACACAACATGAGGGTGAAAAAGAATCAAAATGTTTGACACAATACAAACACATTTGACAGAGTGAATACGTAAAGAAGTGGATATCCAAGAGTAGTCACGGTATAAAATATTAAAAACATTGAGCATCATGAAGTGTTTTTAAATCAGATTTTGTTTCTCTTAATTATTCAAGGTCATGCTCCAAGAAACAGTTTTTAACAAACTGAGTTTCTAAATGAAATAATGTTATCTCATTGGAGTTTTTGAAAAAGCTCTTATTTTGGAGGGAGCTGACATTTAATAATCACATATGAGTGTGGACACAGTATCTGAGCAGTGATAGGAATACATTTACAGAGCTATAAATTCCTCAAATGATTCAGCAGCAGCAGAAATGTTCAGCTTGAACAAGCCTGCTTGTTATACCAGTCTATCAATAATTCTGATCAACACATGTTTTGGAGAAATTCCCGTAAAAACCAGGGAAGAAAAACGTTGAGTCTGTTAAAGACAGTGAGCTGTGTTGTTGTAGTAAAGGGTCCAGTGCGTTCTCAGTGCTGCTGTTTATTTCTAAGGTGACGGCTGTTACGTCCCCTGACTAGCCTAGGGGATAGGAGGGACTAACATAAAGTTAAAATAGTGAATGAGGAGTCAAGATGGCAGTTTTTAAAGGTGTATTTCTTGCTAGTTTTAAAGCTCAGAATTAAGCATTCTGGCACTCTGGTAGCTGGCATCAGAGTTTGGGCCCATCTTCATCTAAACCCAGCCTCAGTCCTGAAGAAGAGCTTAACGAGAGATTCTGGAGACGAAATTTTTTTTCCGATGAAGATGCAGCAGACTTATCTGCAAGACCACAGAGAGAATCAGTTCTAGAATTAAAAGATTTAAGCATATTGAGATGGCACAAGCGTAATCTATGCTTCCTGTCTGGTGTTTTAATCACATAGTCAGTGTCATTTACCCTCTTATCCACCAGGTATGGTCCACAGAAACGGGCAAACAATGCTAGCAGTTGGCAGAAGAATCAAATCTTTGTCACCTGGATTGAACGATCGAGGAACAGCTTTCTTATTTCTTA